TATAATAAACACGCTATATATTATTCGGAAACAACGCTACTGAACCATCCGCTTCTTTGTTAAGATATGTTTGTTAATAAACACGCTATATATTATTCGGAAACAACGCTACATTAATAGAAGAATTTTTTCTATCTTCATAGATCAATGTTTGTTAACGAAATTTTATCCAAATATATTCATGTAGGGTCTTTTTTTTTGAAGGATTTGTTGTAGGATATATAATGGTCAAATAGGAACTCAATTTTGATACCCAGTTTGTAAACTAAGCGTTTTTTAGTTTATCAAAAATATCACATGTTTCTTCATTTGTGAACTTTGAATATCTGAGATATAATATATTAATGTTGCTAAAGTAATATGAGCATTACATATTTTTTCCGGAAGACTATCTTCAAACTTTATATCATAGCATCGAGATCGCCTTTAAAAAAGAAGAAAATAAATTCTTATCATTTCGGAAATAGTAATGGTTATATGAGCAATAAGACACATATACTTACATTTCATAATGACTTATACTTATATTATTAACATAGAATTTTCTCATATGATGAATGACTACATGGTTGATCACATGGTACATAGGATCACAACATCACGCACCGACACCGCCCGCCCGCCTCACGTCACGTCGCCGCCGTAAATAAAAGACGCCCGCCCGCCTCACGTCATCGTTGCCAAGACACCACGGCAGCGCACCGACACGCGATATATATCGTCATTTGTATTCATATGCATTTCGTCCATGCGTTTCTATGTATACGGTGAGCACCGCCGCCTCGTTCACCCATGTGTACAGACATATATACGGCGGAGTGGAGCACCGCCACTCTTGTCACACCGCCCTTTCTCGTGCCCTAATTTCCGCCCTAGTACCGGCGTAGTTCGTCCTAGTGTGGCTAATTGCGTCCCGATCGAGGGCAAGATTTAATAATGCATATTGTTTGTAGATTTTACGCATGTAATAAGCAAAGATTTGACGTACTATATATTGGTTTTGTTTTTGAAGCTAGATGGCCGACCGAGAAATATGGATGAGGAGGAGTTGATGATGAATTTGATCAACACTGGCACTCAAGTTGCCTTGGCGATGATGGTGCTAAAAATAACATGCAAGAGGATGTAGATGACGGAGTCGATGATTTTAGCTCTTGAACAAAATGAGCAACAACATATTGGCCAAGTATATATTTTTTATTATTAGCTATATATATATATTATCATATGTCCTATGTGTGCTCATATGTCCTATATATATATATTATCATATGTCCTATGTGTGTATATGCATATAAATTATCCTAACAAGTACTATATATATGCAGATTTACAATGACAGAGCTCAGAAAGGAAGGCTGCAATGAAATTGGTTTTGTTGATCCCCATATAGTATTCAAAGACCCAATTACTCCAATGACTAATTGGAAGTCTGAGTCAGAGAGTAACCTCATGAACTTCTTAGTGAACCAACGCCACAAGAAGGATATACTCTTTCCCTATAACTTCAAGTGAGTGTTAATCATGTCGATCATAGCCTTAATGGCTCATATGTTGATTCTAGTTAATTAATGAGTGTTATGCGTTATATCCTATAAACACATGCAGCAATCACTGGATATTGATGGACATCGATCTGGTGAAAAGTCACTTGATAATCTATGACTCGATGAGAAAACCACAACAAGACTACCAAGATATGATAGATATTATCCAGAGGTAATTTCGAGATCTCTAGCAACTATATATACACACAAACATGATGATTAACTATATCTGATGACGTGGCAAATTTTTTATTGGGCAGTGTTTGGAAAACCTTTATTGAGAAGCAACACATGGAAAAATGCAAAGCGCCACTGAATGTAATCCCTTTGAAAGTAAGTCCCCTGAATCGCATCATCTTTATTAATTCAACATATAGCTTTCACCGGATCACCAGATTGGATGACAAATCTTTTTCTCGTAAAGTGGTGTCTAAGGCAGAACAGGGAACAACCATCGTGGTTACTATGTTTGCAAGTTTATCAAGGTGCTCTCTCCCAAAGAACTCCTCTGAGAGAGACTCAAAGTAACGTTAAAATACACTATATATTCATTTAATTATTATTATTGATTGTGTTACTATGTCTTTATATATATATATATGTACATATATTAATTTATTTTCCTTTAATTCAAAACCTGAGACTCGATGGTTGGAGGAAAAGGTCATACGGCAAGACCAAATCAAAGCAATTCAAGAGTCTATAGCGGATTTTTTAATGAGCAGGTCATCGATTCCAAGGGCGAGTTCTACTTGACCCAACACCGCCATTGAAGCCAAGCTAGAGGATGAGAAGAAACTTGTTATGTCACAACAACTATAATGCAATCTTTTGTAATATATGCACATGAAATAATATAATGTAAAATACACATATGCATGCATGCATGTAAATATATATATGATGCATGCATGCATATATATATATATATATATATATATTTCTATGATTGAATTGTGTGATTTAATACGTTCATTGTGCTTGACCGAAACATACTATATGCGCGTATAAATGTATAATTAGCAGCGTACAATACGACTTCGAAAACCTATTTTGAAAAGAAAACAAAAAAATGAAAAGAAAAGAAAAAAGAAAAAAACCTTTAGTCCGGTTCAGATTACTAACCGGGACTAAAGGTGCCGCCATCGTGGCATGTCAGAGGCACCTTTAGTCGGTTGGTGTTACCCACCGGGACTAAAGGTCCTCCTTTAGTCCCGGTTCCTGACCCGGGACTAAAGGACCCCCCCTTTAGTCCCGGATGCTTGCTCCCGGGTGGGGAACCGGGACTAGAGGGGGTTCCCCACCGGGAGTAAAGCTCGGTTCTGTACTAGTAGTTGTTTGGTCATCTGTTCATCCGACATGGTCGTTCTAACATTGTTCACAAATCTTATATATCTCTTGTAGTTTCATAAACTACAAGAGAGATATGTTAGATTTATGAACAAATTTATTTTCACTTTGTCGTATGAAGAAAATACCAAAACAAACATTGTACATCTTAATGAGTTATACAACTTTGTAGTTGAAAACTGTTTCATTTGAATTAATTTTATTGTTTCAAAATGTGCATTGAAATTTTCTTTGCGAGTGTCAAAAAAACACTCGGCAAAGAGCTTTCTTCGCCGAGTGTCAAAAAAACACTACGCAAAGAAGTTTTTTTGCCAAGTGTAAATTGCATGTTTGAGGCCCTAAACGAATTCAAATAAAAAAAGTTGTAAACTACAAAGTTTCATAACTTTTCGAGATCTACACTTTTAGCTTAGGAAGTATTCCTATCAGAGGTCGTTTACAAAATTTGAATTTTAAAATTTTAAAATTCAAACATAGTTTTGCATGACAAGATGATTTCAAATCAAAAGTTGTCAATTACAAAGTTTCATAACTTTTCGAGATCTACAAAGTTTATTTTGGTTGTTTGATCATCTGTTCATCCGACATGGTCGTTCTAACATTGTTCACAAATCTTATATATCTCTCTTGTAGTTTCACAAACTACAATAGAGATATATTAGATTTGTGAACAAATTTACTTTCACTTTGTCATATGAAGAAAAGACCAAAACAAACATTGTACATCTTGATAAGTTATACAACTTTGTAGTTGAAAACTTTTCATTTGAATTAATTTATTGCTTCAAAATATGCTTTGAAATTTTCTTTGCCGAGTGTCAAAAAATAACACTCGGCAAAGAGCATCTTTACCGAGTGTTAAAAAAAACACTCGGCAAAGAGCCTCTTTGCCGAGTGTCAAAAAAAAACACTCGGCAAAGACGGCTTTGCCGAGTGCCCGAAAAACAACACTCGGCAAACCACCTGGCACTCGGCAAAGAGCCGGTCTCCGGTAGTGAAAGTGCTACTACTGCATAACTTCATTTTGGTGTTTTAGTATCAATGCTATATTTTGATGTAGCAGCATGCACCTCCTATCCTACTTTGATACATTTTGTAATGAGTTGCAATATAATATATTAATAATGTTATGTTCGACAAGGTTGCTGCTTGATCTATTTTATCTTTTGTTAGTGCTAGTATACCTGATGTGATGTCAACTTTACCATGATAGGTAGCTGTTCCTCTGCAAAGCAAAAGTTCATACTTCTGTTTGATGATTTAGTATATTTGCTAGCTAAAATCTCAATCAGGATTCACAGGTTCTATTCTTGACAAAAAATCAACCAATGTCAATAAAGTGTTATAACAGGCAGAAGGCAGTATAGCACAAGAATTTCTATCAGAACCTATACGTGCTTATTGAGCTTTCTCGAGACGTAACCAAAAGTCTTAATCTATATCAGTATCTAATATTAAAGAGACTAAATTTCTCCCGGTCCTAGCTATACTTTTTCATTCACATCCTCATGTCCTAGTCTAGCTGGCTTCAAACGGTGTCCGCCGATTTCTCCTATTTTGTCCACTCCTTTACAGAGTCCGGTTTGATATTGTGTCCATTTTTTATTTTTCCATGGATTTATTTTTTCGAGTAACTCAAGTTATAACTCTTTTCCTCTGCTTTTTTTTTCTCATAAACATAACCTGTTGTATTTTTTCTTCTATCATTTCTTACAAACATAAAAACTAATAAAAATTTGGACCCGATGTTACCTAACAGAGTGCAACGTTATGAGCTGAGCTTTTTCACAGTTGACCATTTTCTCAGCGCAGCTCCAGTGTGACCATCTAACCGAGCATGCAGTTTGTGTACCGTGCCAGAGGGCTGAATGCTCCCGTGTGGACATCGGCTCGTGGTTTCTGCCAGCCACTCCGAAAGCCTCGCCGCCGCTCGAGCGTGCTGCCCGGAGTCCGTGCGGCCGCAAGGACGGCGGCGGCGAGGCCCTTTCCGTGTTCCCCTTCTTTTCCCCCGCAGCCTTCCTCTCCTCTCCTCGGTGTTGGGCTCGCGACGGCTGAAGCTGCATGGTCGCAGGGGCTGCTCCCTCGCCCGGATCCGGCGGCCCCATGGCCGGATCTGCGGGTGCGGCAGCAGGGTGCGCCTGGGCGGCTCCAGGCGACGACGCATCGGGCGGCGGCGTCAAGGGCCTCTTGGCCGGTGGGTTTCGCGTTCTGGTGCGGCCAAGGTCGGTCGGCAGCGACCATCACACACCGGATCCCGTCCACATTGCACCGGATCCGTGTCCCCTGGCTCAAATCCGGCGGCCCCCGCCCCTGACTCGGCTCCGCCCGCCGGCGTGCACGCTGGTGGGGCCAGGTGGCGCGGCGGCTGGTGCTGGCGAGCGGCGCTGCTGCGGCCACGGCCTGCGGCGCGTGCGCCTCCCCCGGAGACTGCTGTTGGAGCCGCCGTTGGGTGGTTCCCGCGTCTACCGCCGGACGAGCAGCAAAGGCTCCGTCGGTCTTCTCCGGCTGCGTCAACACTCCTCCGACTCCGGTGCTCGTAGGGTGGGGTGTTTGGCAGTGCGGGGCGGACGGAGATGAGGGTGGTGCGGCCAGTAGCGTGCGCCGTCATACATCGTGGTGGTGTGGGCGGCTGCTCTGGCTGTGCGTCGTCGACGCCGTGGTGGCGTGGATGGCGTCGTCCTGCTCGTTTTCGCGTATCTGCAGCGTCATGGTGGCGAGGCTGATGTCGGTCGAGCGGGCACACTTGACTCTCACGGTTCGTCGGCAGGGATGAGGTGCCATGGCGAAAGCTATACCCATTTGTTGGGTCGATAACGGCGACGCCTTTGGGCGCCGTTCTCTTCCTTGGAAGCGTTTATCGGAGGGCCCTCTCCCTCGGATTTGGAGGCGTCGCTTGGAGGGTGGTGCCCTGTCATGCTGTGGTGGTGTGGAGGCCGATTTGGTCTGTCGGAGCCGCTCTACCTTGTGTTGTGCCTGCTGTGCTTCTCTCCTCTTCACTTTGGTCCGTCCAGCTCGGATGTTGGTGTCGTCGCACTTCGCAGTGGCTACCTGGTCACTGGCGGTTTGACCTCGCGACTACCTGGTCGCTTGAGGCTTTCTACGACGTCTCCCTCGCAGTGGCTACCTGGTCACCGGTACGACGTCTCCTTCGCAGTGGCTACCTGGTCACTGGCGGTTTGACCTCGCGACTACCTGGTCGCTGGAGGCTCTAGAGCTCGTTGTCTCCTTCGCAGTGGCTACCTGGTCACTGGCGGTTCTACCTCGCGACTTCCTGGTTGCTTGAGGTTTGCCACCGCGGCTGGACCCTCCTGGTTGGTGACCATTGTGCGGATGTATCTCTTGTAGCAGGCATAGCTTAGTTTCTGGGTTTTTTTTTCTCTTGTTTTCTTGCTGTGTTCGTCGTTGTCTTGGGTTCGCGTCGGTAATCTTGGGATTACTTGCGACTCCTCTGTGTCAACTATGTGTTGCTTCGTGGTTCGTAACCTGTGCTACGAGGGTTCTCTCGTAACTGCGTCGTGTATCTGTTTGGATGTTCTCTGCTTCCTCTTAATGAAATACATGCTACAGTGCACGTTCGAGAAAAAAAATTAAGTAATTAAAATACTATTTATATTTACCGACGTGTACATTGTTTGGACTCGCGGCTACAGACTTCTACGTTCACAATTGATTTGTTTATTCAACTCGGTTTGATGCTTCTGCGAGGTCCGATTTTCGTTCTGACACATACGGTTCAAATAGTTGGATAGTATGAAAATTAAAGTTAGGATATATGAGTAATATTTTTTATCTTTGTTACAGAAGAAAAAATCTATCAAAATCTTATACAGTCTTAATAGGACATTCTCATATTATTACTAACATGAAACAAATTATAGCTTTGAAACTTTATAAAAATGATAAAAAAATAATTAGATATGTACTTTTTTTACAAATATTTGGTAGTTTCTTTTTTCTTGCATCATACGAGTATATTTTATAAAGAAACATTTCCTGGGCTTATTTTAGGATTTAATGGCACTATGCTTTTAGTGGTAGGCGACGCCCTATCGACAGTGAGACGCCTATAGTGACCTCGTGAATCTCGAGAAAAATATAATATAACTATAAACATGTGCGGTGCTGTTTCATAAAAAACAATACTTAACTATGATGTTCACAACATCACTATTATCTGAGCCTTTACATAACTAGTGGACATGCACTTGCGACACGCATGCGTGTCTATGAAAAATTCATATGCAGTGGTGGAATGACAACGTTGGAGCTTGCAATAAACATACAAACCGGTAAATATTATCAGGCCATAAATCTATTAGTGGTCTAACCGTGATATGATACATGGTCAAAACTGAAAGATGCATTGGTCTTTGTCAGTTGGTGTCATTTGGATCATTTTCTCATCTCCTATGATTTCAGGACTGCACTTTTGGATCATTTTCTCATCTCCAAAATACATCAGTTGGTCTCATTGCAAGTCATGGTCTCGCTTGTTCCTAAAAATACCAAAAGACACCAGACATTTAGATCAATAATGATCATCTTCCAAGTTATTGCGACATAGGAAAAGAGCGGGCATGCTTAATCCTACTTAGAATATTAACACTTTCAATTGCAATGCAGGCAAATTTATGGTCATCTAAGATATAGCTACATGGGACACAAGAGTACGAAGCAATTCAAATATAGTATGCAGTACACATCATGCATACCTAAATCCTCACGCTTCATCATATTTACAAGAGCAAATGCTGCATAGGACATATACAACAAATCTATTTGATATCTCCCATAGACAGTTGTTATGACCAGCATCCAATATACCAGGCGTCGCAGCCAGGTGGCTAGGTGGTGCCTAGGATAGATGGCGCCATGATTAATGGGCTAATAGCCCAGCCCAATTATCTTTGTTAGCTCAGTTATCTTTGTTATCTTAACTATTTGCAATTTATATTAGTCCCAGATAGGTTATTTAGCAAAATAGGTTGCATAGAAGGACATAAATATCTGTAAACTCTATTGATATAATTAAGCAGAAGCAACTAAATTGGTTGCTGGCTTCCTCAGGAGCCCTAGCCGCTCTCTCTCTCTCTCTCTCTCTCTCTCACCTGCGCCGTGCATCACGGTGCCTGTTCGCCGCCGTCGCTTCCCCGGACCTCGTCCTCTCCTCTTCCACCCCTACAACCTTCGCAGCAACTCCGGCAGGAATCATAGTCCTACCAATCTGGTATCAACGATGTCAGGTCCTCCGGCCACCACCACGTCGCTTCCTTCATCCCCTGCGCCGCCCACCCCCCCCGCGCCGCCGCCGCCCACCCCACCTTCCACCACCGCCGCTCCATCCACTTCAGCGCCTGATCCTACGGCCAAAGCCCTAGAGGATTTGGCTCGTACCATCACTGACCTCTCGTCTCAGTTCGCCAACATGGAAGCCCAGATCACGCCGGCGCCGTCGCTTGCTACCTCCTTGCCTCTAGTGTTTCCTTATGGGCTGCCAGGGTACGACATGATGGCCCTGTCCTCGCCGGGCGCGTCACCGACAAAGCCACTTCAGATCCATTAGATTCCAATGCCGCATTCTCCGTCACCGCTGCCCTCCTACGTCAGGACATCGATGGTGGCACCGGTGTATACGATGGTGGGCGCCCAGCCCAACCCCGCCACGACAGCAGCCTCCAGCCAAGCGGGCTTGAGTCACCAGCACCAGCAGTCCGTTGGTTTCGGCGGCGAGCTGGGCACAGATGCTCAGTTCACCACGGGCGTCAACCCCACTATTCATTCGACCACATCCAACATTTAGTTAAGTTCTCGTTTTCCTCTCGTATTGTAGCCTCGTTACTTCATTAGACCATGGATAGACTCCCGCGCCTATTGACCCTATTTTTTTATTTTTTAGGGGGCTGACATTTACTTCTTTAACTTGGCATTTGTTTTTCTTTTATGTTCTAGGACCTTAACTTTTCATTTATTGCTGATGTTTAAGATTTATTTTAGATATTGTTTGGCTAAGCAACAAAGAAAATATTCTAGGAGCTAAAAACTATGGTAGTGACTTACCTCCAAAGAATGCATACTGGATCCTATCCATCCTGCTTTTTTGCGATCGTGTCTTAGCAGGTTTTTCATTAAGAAGAAGGGAATTACAGCGATGTTGCAAAGCACCACCAAGAAGGTGGCAAGCAACCCAACAAACCGAACCAACCAAATAAAAGAAACAAAAGGCGGTAAGAAGGAGAGGACCCTCCGCCTCGAACCTAACCGACTGTGCCTGTAAAAGGAAAATACATCCACGCAAGGCTGCCAACAAAGGTGGTGAAGCCGTGGTGGCAAAGCATCCACCGGGAGTAGACGAAGCATCTAGCATCAGGGTGGCAAAGCATCCGCCAAAGACGACATGGGGCAGCAAAGTATCCACCAGGGATGAAAATAGCGACAAAGTATCCACAAGAAGGTGGGTCATCACGCACTCAGCAACAAAGCATCTGCCGGAGAGGGGAGACCAAAGCGAAAGTGGCAAAGTATCTGCTCGAACAGCATTGACGGCAAAGCATCTGCCAAGGATAGAATCAACGGCCACTATCAAGAACCAAATGACTGCGGCAACACCAAACACCAGGAAGCGAAGAGTAAGCTGAAGCACAAGCCAGCACAACACGGCAAGGAGCAACTTTGGAGAGAGAAATGGGACTGCTGCGGAAGTGCTACAACGAAGCCTTCAAGATGGAAATGACATCTTTAGACGCCATCAACGTTGGGAGAAGCGCACGAGATGGACTTTCGTCCCAACAACTGCCTCATCAACTCGGGCGATGAACAGAAACTTCAACGACGCCTCCTAGAAGGTAGATGACGCAAGCTCCACCACCGCCGCCAGCGCATAGCAAGAAGTCGAGCAGGATTTTCACCCAGAAACTATTCAACCGCGAACGCAAGGAGAGCCACATAGCGCATAGTGATGTAGACAAGGCCCGATCTTCCGATAGGTACGATAGCGTCGATTGGTGGAGACTCGACGTTCACGATCTAAGCTTCGAACCAAGACTGATTCGGACCCCTGCAACCATTACACCACTGCTCCGTTGGTTATCAACCACGCGAACGCGATTGACCTCGCCGAGAAGGCTTTCCTGCAAGCGAATCGAGAACACAAGCAAGAACGGGATGAACGCAATTTGAAATTACAAATAAATATGAGGCTTATGACAATGAGGAGTTCAGGTCTTTATTCGAAAGGACTAATCGCCACAGGCGAACAAGATCAAGAACCGGAGCCCTGGTTCACAGCAAACGACCTTGGCGACACAGTTGCAGCAAAACACGTATGTTTCACAAGGAAATCAAGAACTAAACAAAACCCAAACCCTAAGAAGAGAGACGGCTGCTAATTATAGAGCCCCGGACGTCACCCCCCTTGGACGCGCCCCCTAATGGGCCCAAACATGATACACGGTCCAATGGACCAAAAGACGGTGTCGCAGCACCCTGGCAGATTCTGGATGTTGATTTGTTTCGACGATTCCCGTTGATTCCGAAGGGATTTTGATGTGAGACCACTTGCATTGGCTTCCTTATCGAAT